GCGACCGCCGGCGCCCATACGTCCAGCTCTGCGGCCGCCGGACACTACTTCCAGTCCTGTAGTCACCATCACTTCACGTGCAGTCAGTGCGGAGAGTCGGCCGATAAGCATACGGTGCCCGCCATTCTCCGCCGCTCCCGACTCGAACGCACCGGTAGGTCACCAGTGAATGAGATACATAAGCAATACTAATCCCATTCCTCATATTGATAGGCATACCATATCTGTACCGGAAATCCATGACAATCGATGACATCTACTTTGGGTCAGATGATGATGAAGAGGACGCCGGCGTTCATACGGATAGCTACCGGTCGGCGCTCTGGGTATACATCGGTCGCAAGGAAGAGGTGGCCGTTTGGAACCATAGGAACCCATTGAATGGCGGACAGGGAGGCTCGGACCAGTCTCTGCCGCGGTCTGAGTCGGATGAGAGTACTCTATCGGAAAGGGGTTTCAAAAAACATTACGAAGCCATCACTCATCGGCTCATACATAGGAAGGCCAGCGTCGAGATGTATAAACGTATTCTCAACAGAACTTTCGGTTAGTCTAATGTTATCATATCACCTTGGTCATTCATATTTTATCAAATTACTGTACATTGATTTAATTTAGTTTAATATAATGCTTGATATATTTGTTTGAAGCGATCGAAAAGGTGTTAACAATAGTCAAAAGTAACGGTGAGTTCGGGTTTCGTATACACGGGAGTCGACCGGTGGTGGTGTCGGCCATCGAAAAAGGTATGCAAACGACTCATGTATTCATTGAAACAGGTATTCACCCAAAAATGTCTCAATTCTTACGGTTCAGACACACCCGCGGAGGCCAATGGACTGGAAGTGGGAGATATCATAGTCTCTGTCAACGACGCCAATGTCTTAGAGGCCTCTCATTCAGAGGTTGTGAAGTTAGCTCACACTGGTATGTCATACTCGGGTCACTCAATAAGTGTGTATTAAATAAATGAGATTATATACGGTATGTTATAATAGGCTCCGATACTCTTAAGCTGGAAGTGATCTGCACTTCTAAGTCGCTGAAGAGGAATCAGGCGCCGGTAGACCAACACGACGTACTCATGAATGGCTACCTCTCGCGACTGACGGAAAAGTCAGTCGACCGGTTAGAGAGAGCCACGGGAGTGGTCGACACCACCGCCAGTGCTCAAAGTCATGGGACCAATAAGTTATGGCGTAGGCGTTGGTTTGTCCTGAAGTCCGACTATTGTCTCTATTGGTATAAAAATCCCAAAGTAAGTGACAAACTCATATAATTTTAATAGATATGAGCAAGCTCTACAATTAGAGTAACCAGATTCTTATCGACAAATATCCAGAACATAATTATGTAAAAATTAAATCCTAGTTACCCTGATTAAAAAACAAAATAGGGATAACTGGCATAAATGAATACATGAACTAATGTCATATGAATGACATAATATTGTTGGGTATCCGTAGAGCACAGAGCCGGTGGGCGCCATATCACTGCACGGCTACTGCGCGGGGGTCGCCAACGAGACAATCGCCGGTCAGTCCCATGTATTTCGTTTGGTCCGATACGCGACGCCTCAGAAGTATTTTTCGGCCATCGATGGCGAGACGGCTATCCAGTGGGTGTCAACCATCAACCAGTCGGCCACTCGTATTAATCAAGTAATGTATCCTTGGTCATCTATTATTTATTTAATTATCCATTATATACATTGGATTGCTATTAGATTTGATTGTGTACTTTAGATACCCTTTACTTGACGTTAAATATTTAATATGCTTTCCTTTAATATGTTTAACAATTAATTAATGCCATAATATGTTTAAAAATTAATGCCATTTATCGCTGGGATACCAGTTCTCGATCAGTTTTAATGGATTCCCTATTTATAGCACAAAGTGGTCAACATTTTGAATGACTTTTGAAGTTCACGAGTCAATAAGCACTTAATCTATTGATTCTTATGAAAGAAATTATTTATAGAAATATTGAGAAATTGATCGTTTCTTTGGGAGTGAATAGTTATAAACTTATGTCAACAATAAGTATATTTATGTAATATACTGTATATATAATTCTTATATAAGTTTTGTATAGATATCATACATATCAAACTTCTAAGTTAAAAGCTCTAACGCCCTATATTGCACCGGTAGGTTGACCCGTACATCGACATGACACTGCATATGATCCACAAAAACCCGTTATCGCTTAAACATTTGGACTGTTACGGCTACCTGGGCAAATTCAGTAAACGGCGCAAAGTGTGGCGGCACCGGTACTTCGTATTGAAGGACGCCTGCCTTTACTTCTATGCTGACCCTAACTCTAACACCGCTTTGGGTGAGTGAGTGAGTGAGTGAGTGAGTGAGTGAGTGAGTGAGAGAGAGAGAGAGAGAGAGAGATGAATGATTATACTTTACTTATTTTATTATGAATGATATATTAATAAATAAATCTAATTTGTAACCCAATTGCAGGTGTTTTCTATTTACACGGCTATAAAGTGCAGAGTTGTCTAATGATTGGCAAAAAGCATACCCTGGAAGTCATACCTCCCGACCCTAAATACAAACACATATGGCTTCTGTCCGATTCGGATGCCGACAAAAAACGGTTATTTATTACTTCATAACAATTATTGTCTATATTTAGTACAATTGGATTTGAATTGACATTTGCTTCCCATTTCAACAGATGGTTAGCGGCGTTGGAGTACTCTATAGACCGATGGATTAGATTGAGATAATTAATGGCCAAACGTTACAAAAACACCAATTTTTGTATAAATAGTGATATTTTAATGAATTTATTTATAAAAACTAATTGCAATTATATTTAAGCAACAAAAACAATGATTACATGGATTTTACAATGGATTTCCAATTATGAACAGTTTTTGATATGAAAAATATGATTATTTCTATTCATTATTAGAGAATTGTTTAGATTTTAATGTGGTTTTCAATACATTTGACCAGAATTTGCATCTATTTTACCAAATCAAACCTTTTATGAGATGTTATTAACAATTATTAAACAAACGCTTACTTTTTAGTTGACTTGTGGTCCAGATTTATAGCAAATTCAATGTGTATTTAATTAGGCGTTTAATTACATACGTCTTGAGGGGACAGGCGTTTTGTGAACCAATTGGGATCAACACCGCTATTAATCTGTTGTTGAAAAATAAATTTAAAACTAATTTTTGTAACGAATTGAATTGAAAACCAAATAAAATACAAATCAATAAATACTTTAATCGGTATTGAATTGAGAGACTGTGAGCGAAGTGTTTAACAATTTGTTTAAAAATAGTTTTAATTATAAAATATACAGTTTTGGTATAAAAATGTCTTTTAAAGCGTTAATAATTAGAAAACAAACAAATGCTTACAACGAGTGATAAAACCTTTGGCTTTAACGTCGATTTAGTCGACAATATACGTGAAACTCAAACACAAGACAAACAAAACACAAGTATTAAGTAATATATAAAACGGAATTCAGAAATACAAAAGTCATTCAAAGTATGAAATGAAATATGAATACAAAATGGGATTCAAAATCCGTGGTATCGTTGGATCCACTGTTTGGCCGTCGACTCACTTGAAGCATAGATTCGTTTCGTAAAACTTTATCACAATCTGCGGTATCTTAACGTTCGCCTCGCGGGCCGGCACTAAATCCGCCGAATTGACGCCTTTCCACTTGATTAGGAACATAAGCTCCCCGTCCCCGCACCGGGTGGTCGCCCCGCATATGTAGTCGGCCTCCAGTTTCCTATCGAAGCCCTTCAGACCACTCTTCGTGCCATTCGTCGTCTTCGGCGGCAACGGTTCCGCCAATTGGGTCGTCGACTCATCCGTCGCGCCATTCCTCAGCCTCTTGTGCCCCGACTTATGGTTTGCGCCCTTTTTCTGACTATCGTTGGCAGCGGTCGTTGAGTTACCACTCTTTTTGACGCCTCGTTTGCCGGAACCGTTGTCTTTGGCGTTACTTTTGGCCGATATGTCGGTCATCGCAGTGAACACCACCTCACGTTTGGCGTCCGATTGGGGGCCGACATCACCGCCACCTTCACGGCCATCGACGGCCGGTGTCTTCGAGTGGGTCTTGTAGTCGGACTCAAACTTCTCGATCGCCGACAAGCAGTCCATGTCTTGGATCAGCGATTGTTTCGATTCCCACGTGTTCTCTGAGTCCCCATAGCCTCGCCATCGGACCAAATACTCCACTTTACCGGTGCTGTCGTCCACCCGTTTGTCCACAATCTGGTCGATCTCGAACTGGTCCTCCTCTGCCATCCCTTTCCCCGAAGACTTTCCCTCGAAGACTATCACCTGTTAATGAACTTCACCACACGTATGCATGAGTTGATGGCATGGATGACACACACGTGACATACAGACCGATATATGCGGTGATAATGTGGTGATAGTGTGGATGTGATATCGGGTGACAATCAATGGCTAAACAATGGTTTGAATGAAAGCATGAGTTCGTAAACAATGACTGTTTGTATGGCTTATGAATAGGCATTACATACACACTGTCTGTCAGACCAGTGCTCTGATTGGCGAACTGTATGCGATCGTCATACAAGAGGTACACATAAATACATGAAAACACAGACCCCTCCCCCCGGTTACCATAGAAACAATGCATTTGTTTGTGTCAATAGTGGGCACTCCCTCCCTATTAATAAACACGTATTTTGTGAATAGTCTCGTATGGGTGGAGTCGAGTGGTTGCTTACGTACGTGAGTGACGTCAACAGACATTCACTCAATGAATACATACTAACCATAGCTCTCTATAGCTCTCTCTCTCTCTCTCTCTCTCTCTCCTAATTTTAATCTCGATTTTACTCCCAAACCAAACCCGTAGTGAACGCCAAGTTATACGACAAGATGTGTATCAGAAATATATTCACATTTTTTTGTATAAAATTTTGTAAAATTATATAAGAGATGGGAATATATGCAGCAAACGAGTGGACCATTAGTTTGTATAGCGTTTGATAAATGAATGGTTAGAACACAGGTTTAGTCCATCCCTATGGCCACGGAATGACTGGTTGTAGTCATACATCCATTCACTGCTGTGTTCTCTCTCTGAATGTGCGATAGTTTCGCATAACGTATAGCCGAGAGAGAGAGAGAGAGAGAGAGAGAGAGAGAGGGAGAGAGAGAGAGCGTATAAAGTTTAGAGCGTTTTTTGTATTGATTTTCGGATCAATATATAGATAGAGAGAGAAAACTGTGAAACAAGTGCTGAGGAGAGTGTGAGAGAGACTGTGAGGTTTGTACTGAGTTTGTGAGCGAACGGTGCGATCGATCGCTATATTCACAGTAATCTCTTAGCCGTTGATTGCGTTCTTCATATTATTTAAGGGACAGGGATTGTAGTGAATGATATACATATGAATACATGTATAATGATAATTGATGTTTAAAACCGATTAATCGTCACTTTCTAATAGGTATTCATATAATTTGTGTTTCCATTGGATTTGTTTTTCACAGAAGCCGTCAAAATGTAAGTTCACAGCCAATGATTAGACCATTGAATCGATTGATTGTATGATATAATTGTCTAAAACACACGTCAGTCCAGTAGTGATGGTGTCATCAGTTGTTTCATACTATCATAAGCTTTGCTGACATTTATTTAGATTTATATTTTCGCGACAATTATATTGACTTTTATTTCAATAAACGTTTTAGCCTGAATATTAATTTTAGTAAATATAGATATGTACATTGTTAGCAAATATAGTACTATCCGTTTAGTACCAAATATAGTCGTATATCCGTTTATATAATAACCACATCAGTAGGCGACTGACTATAAGAATTAGTGAAATTAGTGTAGAGTAGTCTCTGCTTGATGATTCAAATTGTCAAAAATTTAATTCATGAACTCATGTTTTATTCAAAGTGTCAATCGATTCACGTGATCGTCGTTGTAATCATTGCCTAAAATTAACGGACAATTACTTAAAAAGATTGTGAAAAATGTCGTGTTTTTGTAGTAAATCCACAAAAATTGAACGAAAACCTCAAACCTCTGTTAAGGTGCGAGTGATGCCCGAGCAGAGCAATGACTACAGGGTAGTCGTGTTCGGTGCTGGAGGGGTAGGCAAGTCATCCATGGTTTTGAGATTTGTAAAGGGTCTGTGTCACTTTTGTATTCATATTTACTTTTCTACCTAAATATCTATTTTATATTAACAAAAATATTTTACAAAAATATTTACATAACATATAATATATATTTTTAAATTATTACGTAACGTGTGTTTGCTGTTTATGTGTGGTATGAAAATGTATGGATAAATAATTTATTCGCAATTTTTGTTTATTTGAATTCATATGAGATTTATATGAGAATTATTTTTTTAAAGAGCAAATGTTAAGTGTGTTTTGATTTATGTGGGCTCAGAAAAGTCACTTTAATTGTGGTTTAATATCGAAAAGATTTTCTATCATTGGCTAATAAAAGCAAATATTGGGCAATAGTGCCCACAGTCTAGGCATTGGCTCACGAATTGAATTTTTAATTTAGTTTTCTATTTAGTTATAGTCTTATAGATAGGTTTTGTTTATATAAACTTTTAACTCAATTGTTCGTTACGATTAAGTATCACTTTTCTGTCGTTATATTAGAAAAGCAAACATTTGTAT